AAAAAATATTTTTTTATATTATTTTTTCTGTGTTGCTGCTCATTTATAGTTAACTCTCCTCCTCACCTTCCAGGATTACCTGCACGGTCAGAGCTGTATTCATGGAAACGTGGCGGCTCGCAGCGTTCTGGTTGGCGCAGACCTGACAGCCAAACTGTGGGGTCTGGGCCCGGCCTATCTCAGATCTCGGCCCAGTTCGGGGGCAGCAATGGAGGATGTGGAGCTGAGGAAGTGGCAGGCGCCTGAAGTTCTGGCGGGGAGATCCGTCAGTCAGAGCAGCGACATGTGAGCGCCGAGTCCTGCAGAAAAAAGAAACCATTCAGTGAAAACGACTCGAGATCAAACCGTTACTGTTTCTTTTACTGACAGATGGTCCTTTGGCATCCTGGTCTATGAAATGGTCACACTGGGTGAGAATACTTCACAAGCTCCTAATTAACCCCTCATTTCTTAACATTTTGTAACCAAGAAGCCATTAATTCATTTATTTAGAGGTCTTAAATAAAACCAATCAAAGCTACAGTGTTGTATAAAGTAGCTACCAAAGTGATACTTGAGTAAAAGTACAAGTATCTTACGAAAAAAATACTTTGAAAATTACTTACTTGAGTAAAAGTANTTTTATTTGAATGATTCTGTCCTGCTGGAGTGTGACATGATTTGTTTGTGTACAAACTAATACACTATCAGAGTTTTATATATTTATACTTCTCATTCAACCACTATTAAATTCACTCTAAGGGGCACAATTTATATGGATAGTATTTATTTAAAAAAAAAACAAGCTGGAATGAAAACAAGCAAAAATGAAATAAAAGAAACAACTTTCTACTTCTTGCCTTTTTTAATGTAAGGAGTATAAAGTACAGATAATTGTGTGAAAATATAAGAAGAAGTAAAAAGTAGGCTGAAAAATAATTACTCAAAGTACAGATACCCAAAAATTATATTTCAGTACAGTAACAAAGTATTTGTACTTAGTTACTTTAGAACTCTGCAAAGCTGTGATGTTGTTGATGTTTTACACAGCTGATAGAGGTACAGACAAAAAAAAAGTACCATCAGGTTTTGATTAAAAGAAAATAATTTTAAAAATGTTGCCTGAGAGTTCAGACTGCTTTCACAACACATTGGGTTAGCTTGAATACTTTTACAAGGTAATTAAATCAAGCTGAACCTGTATTTTAAGTAATAGGCTGCAGTCTGCCTCTAAAAATGTTTTGCATTAACTGAACCGRAACAACTGGCTGAATTTGTTGGTCCTGAAAACCAGACTCAACTATGAAGGTAAAACATGGTTAATAAAAATCAGGAGGGACATTTTAGTTGTGTAAGAGCTTTAAATCCTTTCATTTACCTGAATAACATGTTCAGTTGTCTGTTGTGTCCAGGTGACCCACCTTTTGCCAACATCGTGGTGACTGAACTGCTGCAGTACCTCCAGAGAGGAAAATACCTCAAACGGCCGGCCACATGCTCCGAGCCTCTGTAAGAACAGCAGGAGACATTAAGCAGGATTATTATCAGATTACAGGATGAGGAATTACGCTCTTTGATAAACCGTATATAATCAGCTGTTCAGCTAGATTTAAGAATTTGATATTAAAATTGTGGAAATTTTAAGTTAAATTCTTTAATTAATATTCCTCTCACCTTATTAACCAACTCTTGGTGTACAGGACTTAAAAAATCACAATTGTGTATATANAAAACTTTATGCATTAACTTTCTGTAAATATATTTATTAAATTATTAACTGAGCAGAAAAAATAATGTTAAAAGTAACGATTATCAAAAGAAAGAACATTTGTGTTCTTAAAAAGACCAAGCCAAGCCGAGGATGCAATGAAAAGGTTCAAACCATTCCACCAAGCTTACACCACTCCTTCAAAACGTGCCACAAGCAGAAGGAAATGTTTTCACTGTACATCCGTCTGTTCTGCTTTTCAAAACCTGAGCCGAGCCCAGAGATTAATAACAGGAGACATTTAAAAAGATGGATTTGATGAACAAACCTACAGTCACCACATCGCTGTCAGAACAAAGGTGAAAAGTCAACATGGACGACAGACAAAACGGTAAATGTAGAAAATCCATTAATCATGACCATTAATCTTCTGTAACTAGAAGGGCACTCACAAGTCAGTTTTGCATAGTCATGACAAAAGCAATCAGCATTGAAAACATCCACCTGCCTCTGCAGGAAAATCCTGTCAAAGAGATGCACACTGACACGTAACGTTGGTATGAACACCTGACAGGTCGAAGAAACAAAAAGAAACATTCTCTGAATGGCAACACAACTCACTCGGGTTTCTTCGAAACCAGTCTGCATGTAATACCTGGAGGCTTGTTACGTTTCAAAATATGCTCTCATTCAAATTTAATAAAAATATATAGTCACTGCAGGGGCGGAGCTAGACTGTTTTGAAAGGGGTGGCCAAGGTGTTTGTTCAGAGGGGCACATGCAAATAAAGAAAATTCAAGATGGCCACCACAACTAAGTCCAAATGTCTTTAATTCAACTGTTTTAAGACATTTTGAGCTGACATTTTGTGTGATCATATTTAAAAATTATCTAAACTATGGTGAACATTCGTTATAACATTTTAGACGTAGCCGAAAACAATCTTTACCAAATTCTAAATTCTAATCAAAAATTCAAGATGGCCACCACAGCTAACTTTAACAGGCTATAATTCAATCTTTTAAAGACTTACTGAGATTAAAATGTTGCAGAATAATCACATGGCGATTGCTGATACTAATACCAAATTAAGCTAACKATTAATGCTCATTTTACTAAGGGCTATAATCCAACCAAGTTTAAACAAACACGTGGAAATTCCTATAAAGTATCAGAGAACAATCTTTAACAAAATNCTTACAAAACTTAGCACCACAGACAAAAATAATAGCAAAAAAGAAAAAAAATCTTATTTAAGCACTTAGTGACGTTGTTCTGCACCTACCGAAGTAGATCCTTAATTTATGTATTTTTACCCACTGTTTTTTTTTTTTGTTTTTGTTTTTTCTGATCTGCAGGTACGCCATCATCAGGTCCTGCTGCCACTGGACCCCCCAGAGGCGCACCTCCCTGACAGAACTGKTCCGAACCCTTCAGGCAGGAGAGCAATCAGCCAATGGGAACAGGGTTCTGAGAGTACCAGAGCCATTCAACTTTGAGAGATACATAAGAGAGGCGGGGATCGAAGAGTCCTATGCTGTCCTCTGATTGGTTGACTGAGTCATCAATCAAAACTGTTGTAACCGCCTCTAAACAGTGTTTAAAACACAGAACAAACAGGAAAAAAATGGGTTTTTATAAAAGTAGAATTATATTTATTTGTACGGTTGGAACACTTAAGACATTACAACACAATCATCTTTTATTTTGAAAGAATAATTTATTTTTGTAACTGTACATGATAAACAAGTGTTGAGAATGGATGTAAAGAAAATAAAAAGAACGTTTGCGGTTGGACTGTCCTGCTGTCACTGTGTGAGCAGCAGGTGGACACCCTGGACAGGTTAAACAGACAGGCATGTTTGGTTTGTAAGAGGAAACCAACAAAACGTGGAGAAAAAAAAGCAACATGTGCACAGGGAGAGGTCAGGAGGAGACAGCTCTAAACGCTGCTCCACCGTGRTGCCCAGCTCACATGTTACAACAAATCAAGACACAAAGATCTAAAGGTTTAAAAGAGTTCAGGTGATTATTTATTTGCATTACAGGAACAATTCCTTCTTGTCAAAGGATCTCCTCCAACATGTAGTTTTTTTTTCTTGATTATTGCAAGCACAGTTCTGAATGCTGCTTTATATATATGTATAAAAAAAGCATAATTTTGCAGAATCATGTTATTTTGGGGACAAAAGTGCCACTTTTACAGGTGAATGAATAATAGTAAAATAAAAATATAACAGAAATGCAAAGACCAACCTTTTAACGAATGTTGCATCAGTGTTCACAGCAGAATTTGAGGCTCTCATTCATTTTAAATGAGGCCCAAATCAATTTTTGGTTTGGACCCACGAGGAGACTGAAATAAACAAACAGCTACCAGGAATTATCCCGTTTTAAAGAGAACACTGGAATAGCCACAGTCACTAACAATAAAGCCAAATCTACTAACTAGAGGGTAAATATTGTTGGTAGTTACACACTATATGACAAAGTTAGAAGGAAGACAGCAAGATCCCTTGATCAAAGTAGCTACTAATTAGTCACGTTTTGGAAAAAGGCAACAAATGTCATTGCTTGAAATAACACACGTAGAAAAGTGAGGACTAATAGAAAAGAAGGAATGATATGAAAAGCTGTTTAAAAAACAATCTTCGTCTAAATCTAGCGTAGAGAAAAAAAGGCCACGAGGTTCACAGAGAAAAAAAAACAAAAAACATGATAAAAAATTCTACATAAAAAGCTGAAACAAAGCAGTCCAGCAAACAAATGTGCAATTAAATAGAAAAAGGCAAATCTTCCACGTAACTACAGTATAGCTTAAGGTTTTTTTATTCACACAGTTCTTGTTTCGTTTCGAACAATCCGTTACGAACGTATGTCCACTTTTTTCTTCACATGAGAATGTGGCGCTTCAAAATAAAAGCTGCTCGTTTTCAGTCTTCTTCAGCAGTGCCTTTTTTTTTTATTTTAAGCTTCTTCACAAACTTGTAACTGGACTCCTTCACGTACCGTCGCATAAAAGCGGAGCAGCTGCTTGTTTTATTTAAATAAAACATCTAAAATGTTTGAAAGATCGAGTGTAAATCGATTCATGTGGGACGTTTTGTTCATTTGATGTGTTTAATAGGGAAATTTGCAGTTTGCTGTGTTCATTAAAAGCTCTCAAATTGAGGAATTTGGGTTTTATTTGAACTCTGGTCTGGCCTTTTAGCAGTCAGTACCCTGTACTCTCACTGTACCCTGTTAGCTGAAGGAAAACCACTTCAAAAAAAAAAAAAAAAAAAAAAAAAAAAACCACAAAAAATAGAAACCTATTTCCAAAAAATGTTAGATT